AAGGCAGCAGATCTTGGGTGTAGTGCAGCTATCCAGTGTGATAGCCATGTCCCAGCCTAGAGAAAACCAGGAAACTGCATCCATTTCTTGGTGAAAAGAAGACTTTTTATGCTCATAGTTTTAGGACATAAATACTTGGGGTAACAAAAACAAAAAGAGGTTGGTTGGGGTTTTTACTATTCCCCAATTCAAATTGCTGCAGGGGATCCTGTCAGGAGCTGGCTCAATACAGGAATAGCCAGTTTACAAGGAGGTAAAGCCAGACCAATTGGATATTTTAAATGCCTTTCAAAACTTAAAGACTCAGAAAGGCCACTCAATTTTAACAGATCAAGTCCTGAGGTCTCAAAAAGAAGGTATTTATGCCCAAAACATTGTGACTCCTCAAATGTCCCATATTTCAGGTGGAAAGCTGAGGTCACTGACCATCAGGGGAGAAGAGCTGCCTTCGGAGCTCTGGGCAACACGAGATGCCCAGCTTCAGTCCCCAGGAGTACTTGCTATCTGTGTTGTGCCCCATGCCCCGGGGGAGCTCCAGAGTGCACCCTGGAAATACCTCCCTCAGACCATGGATCGAGAGGAAACTCAGGGGTGCAACAAGGCATGTGGGATCCAGAGTCCGTGTGAACGGCATGGTTTGGCCACATTTCCAGCAGCTGCAGGACCCACAAAGGGAAATAAGGTGGATAACAGACACAGTCAGTGGGAACTGCTTTTAGCCATAAGATTTTCACAGACCACGTTTTTGCCTTCAAAAAATTTTTTTTGACTTACTCAGATTTGGGTTAAGCTAATGCTCTTGTTCCTTCAAGTCCAGAGCAGCTAATGAGGCTGTGTTCTGCTTTTTTTGTCTCCTGTGCTCATCCTGCTGGTATCTCAGCCCCTATTCAGTTATATTGCAGTAATATATACTGTAAGGCTTTCCTAACCCTGAGATTCCCCCAGGCAGATTTTGCAGAGTATCCATTTAAAGTGATAGTAATGAAACAACTTTTACTTAATTAAAGCCAATTATTGACTAACCCATAGGCTCAGCAATGCCCACTTGCTGACCAGTATAAAATGATTGGATTTCCTATCTTACCAGCTGACTCTAACAAGGATTTCACATATTAGCTTTCTGAAAATCAGCATGCTGTTAAATGGTAAGCAGCCAGCCTTGTGGTGAGCCAGTAGCTCGTGGCTGTTTGGGTGAATGTTTACTGGACACTCCCATGGAGGTACTGGAGTCAGGTTAGGTCAGGGTTTTGTAGATTGTAGAATTTTGGGCTGCATTTTTTCTACTTTATGGTAAATTTTCAGTAACTTCATTATAAAGCTTCCTAATGAATTTCCATAGAGCTGATTTTTGCTCTGAAGACATGTCCGTGGAGGACAAGAAGACCAGGAGGCAAGCAGTCTGCAGATTACTGTAGCAGGTAAGAGGTTGGAGTTTGGGGTTCAGAGTTTTTTTGTTTCTTTGTATTTTCCAGAAATAATTTTTATGCTCTAAACTTGCAGATTTCAGGGGTTTCTTCCCATTTGCACCACGGAGTTATTTTGGCTATTCATTTAAACTCATTTATTTCCATGAGCAAGACTCAAACTACCCAAATGTCTCATTTTAGCATTTCTGTTAAAAAAGAGGGTTTATATTTCTTGGGCTAAGATTCACAAGACACCCCTTCCCAACCAGCCTGAGTGTCTCCTCCCTTGCCTAGCCTGAGGGCCCAGCACCCATCCCCACAGCCGTGTCTCAGATCCTGTCCTTGCCAGCTTCCAGCAGGGCTGTCAGGTAAAAGAGGACCCTTGCTCCCACCATTTTGTAACAGCACCCTAAATCCTGTCATGAATCCAGCCCTTTGTTTCCAAAGCTCATGCCTGCTAAGAGATGAAAGGTGCTCCAAGAAAACAAGTTACTCCGCAAGCAGAGGAACTAATGAAGCCCAATTCCCCGCAGGTTTGCCTCTTGTAGTTGGATTCTCTGATGTCTGGAGCAGTGTGAACTCAGACTAGAAGATGCCCCACACCCAGGGCTTTCCGAGAGGCTTTCTTCTCCCATGTGCATTCTTCAGTGCCTCATTAAGGTTGAACACGTGCTGCAGGCTTGCCCTCTCTCAGGCTGTTAGTAGGGTTTTGGTGTTACATCCGATTGCTTTATTTCATCGTATCTTTTCAGACCACATTTATCAACCACAGCTAAACGTGGTTAAAGCTGGCCAATGAGTTCAAGTGTCACTGGGTGGAAAGACAAGTGGTAGATGCACACGCAAAATTGTATGATTGCAAACATCTTTTTTCTTTGGAAAACAGATTAAGTGTTCTATTTATAGGCGCTGCAAACTTGCAAATGATTTCTGTTTCAGGCTGACCCAAAACCAAATGGACACAAAATTTCAGTGCAGTCCATGAATATAAGTCTTCCATATCATGAACAAGCTCAAAGCATTCTCCTCTCCCTCCCTCCAGCACCACCAGGGATTGTAGCTCAAGCAGGACATAAAGATAGTCATACCCAGAGCCCCTTCTCAACACCAGCAAGTGCACGTGCACGTGGTAAAACTCAACCAGGGAGTCGGGAGAGCAGAATAGATGAAGATAGCGAAGCAAAGATGTGTATGTGTGAGGGTGTTTGCACAAACCAGCTTGCATGCACATGGAAGATCAAAGCTGATATTCATCCATACCCCTTGTGCAAAGTCAATGTGGGTCTAGCTAGGTTCACGGTGCGCAGAGACATTACTTGTTGCAGTCTCACGAGAAACCAGTGCTGAATTGCAAAGCTGACTGAATCTTCTGGTGAGAAAATAAAAGTGCACACAGCTTTCACTGGCAGTCTCAGTTGTACTGGAGGGCTGTCTCTATTGTTGGAGCAGAGTAACATGGCTGATGTGTACAGTGTGTGCAGGTCTGGAGAGAGCTCACTGTCACAGGCAGTGATGGTGGGGTGTAGCCCTTTCACTGGGGAGGAAGGAATCAGTATCAAAATCAATAGCTCTTCTTCTCAGAGATGAGAATTATCTAACCAGGGAGAAGTGGTTCCCTTGCAGCTGGTTGATTTTGGTAATCCATTATTAATGCTTGAGTTACAGGCCTGGCACTCTCAAAGGTCATGTTGGTATAAGAGCACATCAATTGTTTCCAAACATTTCACCCTGCAGCACCTTTGCTGCGGCCAGGGGAGTTAATACGGCAATTCTTCTTAGCCTTTGCCTGTGGTTTCTCTCTGCCAAGGTCTCCAAGAAGCCTCCTTCAATATGCCATGATAAAATCTTGATACAAGGGCAAGTATCAAGACATATCCCATCCCTTTGGGGCTGCATTTCATCCCTGTCAGAAAGGAGAACCTGCTGAGCAGAATTTTGGCTTCCCTGCCGCAGTGAGGTGTTGGTTACTGAACAGTCTCAAAGGGAATCAATGGCATTACAGACAAGAAACCTAAATGAAAAAACTAAGGAAGTAATCAAAAGGAAGGATGATGAATTTGGATGAGGTTTAGTTTAAGAGTTGTGATACTGTTTAGATCCAGACTCGCAGCCTTGACATCTAGTATTCATGCAGCTTTGAAGCAGATGGGTGAAACTATCTTACATCATTAACCCCCATAAGATTTCCACCGCTTTGAATGTATATCTCCAAAGAACATCTCAAATTTTCTGAGAATATCTGTATCACAGCATGGAATAACTCTGAATTAAAATCCCAAACCCAGATCCCACTTCAGACATGAGCCTGTGGCTCAAACCCACCTTTACTATTGGCCAGCCCCAAAGAGCCTGAGCTCTAATAAAGGTTATCTGAAGTTTAGTTGAGAAAGAGATGATAGGACCCCAGAGAAGCTCTTGATTAACAAATAAATCAATTAAATCAATCAATAGTCTAAGCAACTCTTTAGAGCCAAGCCTGAAGCCACAATGGGATACTAGAGAAGTTCCTACACTGTTTTATGGTAGTAAAAATTTGCCTGAAGCTAAGACTCAGGATAGGACAGAAAACATTTGCTTTTGTACCCACCATAACACCAAAATATTCTCCTCCAGTCAGTCACCTTCTTGGTGAGCACAAGGTAAGGCTTTCTTTAGTACTCAAGCTACATGCAGGACAAGTGTTTCACCCTGGGAAGACACTAAAAAGGAGGTGATGACGCCTTCAAAGTGAGCAAACGGTCTTCTGAGCCACTAGATAAATGAAGACTGTTCTCCAACGGATTTGCATTGTGTGATTGGAGTCTCTAATATCTCATTAACTAGAAGGAAGGTATTTGGGGTATTCAGAGCCTCTGCTGGGTAGATATTCAGGTATCTCAAGGGCTAGGCTCAGACTGTAGTCCTTCCTCAGTGAGTAAGTATGCTTCTTGCAGGAATGTTTGCAAAGATAAAAATTACTCAAAAGCACACTTACAAAGTTCAGATTTCTGTGGCTAGCCTTCAACTCAGCCAGGGCGCACATTTTTCTGGCAGAGGGACCTTCTTCAGGGCATGGGGCTGAGTCCCTCCCCCTGTTCCTGCTGAAACAGGTCATGTGAAGGTCATGTCCCGATGGAGAATTCACTTCAGATGAAGTGAGGTTCAGCCAATTTGCTTCAGAAGGCCATAAGCTGGCACCTGAGACCCCAGTTGCACACACTTGAAGATGCTGAATAGTGGATGTGCCATAAGGACTTGCACCACTACAAAGCTCCCATGACTTTGTCTGTAGGGAAGCCTGAAACTCTCGTGGCTTAAACTGCATCTCCCTGCACCTCCTCCATAAATGTTTCCATTTGTATGATGAGAAGCTATCTCACTCCCTCCTTAGCCAAGGAAAGCAAAGTCTGTGCAGTGCAGTGCCTTATGCTGGTATTATCAAGCTGCACATCACATAAAGGGCAAATCAGCCAGCACTGAACCAAACTGGGCACACGTCATCTGTGGGAGACACTGAAGAACAGGTAAGACAGACTTTTAGCTGGATATGGTTTAGGTTTGATCCAGCCTCACAGCAAAGGACAAACTTTCTTCACCTAGCATCATTTGACAGAATTTTATTGAGTTACTAAGTTCTCTCTCGACAAAAGCTGTGGACAAACTCCATCTCCGTTAGCGTTTCACGCTTTATGCTGAACCCCTTCCCTCCACAAGAGCATTTGCTCCAGGACATGAGTGGACTCTTCTTGTGGAATCCATATGGGTGGGTAGACAATGTGTAGAGAGACACCAACAAAGCCCCCTTTTCCATGGAGAAATAGAGAACATAGATGAGAATAAATTCCAGCAAACTATACAAGCAAGGGATACTGTTTCCATTTTACCAGAGGAGGTGGCCACTTTACCAATAGCTATGCTCAGAAATATGCTTTTATCAATATCTGAATATACTCAAATCAGCATTTAAATGACTCACATTAGTGTCTCTATTGCCCCTGTGCCATGTCATGAGGTCACCTATTGCACATGTTAATGACCCCTAGGGTGAGAGAGTGGTTTCTGGTGTCTAGCTCACACTCCTCTTTATTCAGTCCCTGTGCATGCCCTAGGTTTTCGCCCTTGTCACTTATTTTATTCTGAATCCAAACACTGCCACACAATGCACTTGACCTTTGCCCTGGAGGGAACACACTTGGGATGAAGGAAGAATTCACTCTTTATTCCTTTCTAATTCTAGTTGTTACTATACCATCACGGACAAATCCCCACTTACACAATAGAAATCAAGTCGTCTGTTCTCACTAGTTCTGGGACTTTCGACAGGGGTTCCTCCTCCTGCCACAGACGGTCCAGCTTTTGCCCGCATCCGGTTTTCACATTTTACATCTGTCCCGATTAACCCTTGTCATGACATGGCAGCAGCTGCCGAAGAGATGAGCGGGAGGGTTTTTCTGCTCCTGCCACCCTGATTATATATGACAAGAATCTGGCAGAGGCAGGTAGCTGACTTGCACTGTGTGAGTGGTACATTTCACAGCCCAACATGACTCTTTATTTTTGGGGGGGTTTCCTGGGACTGTTCATCTGTCACAGATATGTGGCCAGTGTAGGATGAGCTCTGGGATGCAAACATAGAATGAGGGACACACAGCTTTTAAAACCCATCTAAGGCAAAATGGCAGCTCCAGACTCTGCCAGCAAATGGCCATCACATCCTATGTGCTCAACAGTCCTGACTCCCCTGCTTTAAATTATATATTTAACTGAGGAGCTATGTTACCTGAGGTTTCCTTTCTGGTTGGAAGTTGATTCTGACCCTCTAAGATACGAACCACCCTTGCAAGGTCCTTCCATTTTTCAGTCTCTAGCAGGATCTCCAGGGTATCCTTCATGTTCCTCTTTGGGTCACATGCTGAGATGCAGACTGGAAAAAGTCAGTCATTTCACTGAAGCCAGCAGAGATCCTTCAGGATGATTCTGCTCTGAGAGAGGGTGAAGGCAATGGGCTAGAGGCTGCTGCTTAATTAATTCGTTTAAACACCTGAAAACTGGCCCAGGAACTGAAGCCAAGCAGAATGTTTCAAGCTTGGTATTTCAGTGGACAGGAGTTGCCAACATCTGAAATACAAAGCAAGATGTGGGGGGAAATAAAAGATTTACATGTATTTTCCTCACACCCTTGTTTAGATTTAATCAGCTTTTAAAACTGCACTGAAACCTTCAGTTTTCCTGACTAGTGGGAACCTCCCTCTCTGATTTCATGGACAGAGATGGATTAGACCAGCTTTCCCGCACACACCTTGCTCTCAAATTAGCCGTAATTTGTATGTAGTTCACACACTGATCCCATGACAGATGCATACTTACCCACTGTGTGCATCTTCGAAACCCATGTGGTTGGGACATGAATCCCCTCTCAGAAATCTCAGCTGTACAGATGTAGGCTGAGGTCAGGTTTGGCTCATCTTTTCAAGTTCCCAGTGTACCATCAGACATTGGTCTTCTCTAGGTCATTTTTGTATTAGTGATTCCAATGGGTAACTGGATTTCACATCTTCTTGTTATTTATTTGTGTTGATTTACCACCTTGAAGTTGCATAAATGGGCTAAGACCTATCTGTACCAAGAACATCACAAATCCCTAGTGCTCAGATGACTCCTAGATCAAAGAGCATCTACTTAAAAGCATAGCAGAAGGCAGAGGATGGAAGAAAACCAATCTTAAAAAATCTTGACCCATGGAGACCATAGTCAGCTCGGTGAGCACAGTAACAGCAGGCGGAAGGGTGGGTGGGAATATCCCAAACATCAGCCCACACTTTGGGCCATTTCACCTGCACCAAACCAGTTGATGAAGAGCCTCGTACACTCCCTCACTTCTTAGCTGTCCATCATCTACATGGGACACCCCAAGGGATACTCATCTGGAGCCAAAACACTTAACCCCCTGAAAGACCAGTCCCTATTTTCCCAGAGAACAGCCTTCTTCATCTACAAGCATTTATTCATCCTTTCTTTTTATTTTTTTTCTTCCTGTTGTGTTAACAGAGCATCTAATGTGACTAAATAGGACAACCTGCTCTCCCATCCCCATGAAAAATAAATGATGTGCTTTCTCTCAACTACCTTCCCCCGCCTCCTGGTGCTTTTCCCAGCAGGCAACTCTTGGACCTGTCCTCCCTTGGGCAGACCTCATGGAGGGGCCTGGGAACCTCCCCCCAGCCACACCACAGCGGTGGGAGCCTTTGGCTTGAGCCAGCAAAGCACGGTGGAGGAAGGAGTTTGGGGGAGGCAGAGGAGGGTGGGAAAAAGGATGAAGGGGGTGTCTGTGTATGTGGGGGTGGAATCTATGTGCAGAAAGCAGCCAAGTGGCAGCTTACCCTGTTAAATATTAATCATTTCTGCTTCTGCAATTTCGGCAATGCGTCTAGGCCCACCACTGCTGAATATTTCATTAACACCACTCACTTCCAACTTCACTTCTCCCACTTCTTTTTCTCCAAAAGACCCTTCTCCTGTACCTGCCCCCAGTCCTTCCCCTACCATTGCCAGTGCCAGCCATGGCCGTGACGTCCATCCTGTAACCTCACATCCTTAACTCCCCACTGGTGAGCACCAGCCCAGCTCCGCTCTGTCCACAGTCCACCGATCGCGGTGTCTGTTCAGGGAGAGAGCAGTGAGGCCATTCAGGGGAAGGAAGATCATCAACTCCTCTGGGAGAAAAATATAAGTGCACATCAACAAGTCCTGCGCTAAATAATACATGAGGCAGGTCAGGGCAGAAATGCTGACTCTGGGCTAGGAGCTTTTTAAACTATGTAGTCTATGTTTCTTCATCACTGGCTTGCTCTGTGTGAGCACTTTGGGAGGGCAATCAAGTGTGCTAGGGTGAGCTTTCTTGGGCCTGAGCAATTTTCACCTCCAGCTCCTAATTGCAGCTTACCCCTGCCTGCTTCTAGCTAGAGAAGAGCCCACATGGTGTGCGGCGTGTTGGGTGGCTGCAACCAGGAACGGGGACTAGAGCAGGACTGTGTGGGAGATGTGAGGGTCTGCCAGGGAAACCAAAGCAAGACAATGTGCTGGTGCTCTAATCCAGACTTGATGGCTTAGTGTGCAAGTTTACTCCTCTATTCTCCCCAGACATAGGTGCCTTTTATTAACACCAGCTGCAAATCTCTACCTCTCCCTTCACCAAGCCCTTCTTTTCCATCCATTCTTTCCTTCTCTTCCACTCTTTTATCCATTCCCAAGCCTTACTCTTTTTCCTGTCTATCATTATATTACTTACAAAACTTAAACCAAATCAATGATTAGAAAGTTCAGGTTGACCTTTCAACATTTCACATTTGAACAATTTCTTCCTCTCACTAATTCATGTTTAAATGTTTGTATGATCCCAATGTGATTATGAGGAGGTGGGGGAAACAAAACATGTTCATCTAGGTTCAGATTACCTCTGCCCATGGCACACACTGACACCTAACTCACTGGTGGAGATTTCTTAGACTGATAGGCAGATCTGCAATAGGTACGGACTCACAGCCTCTTGTTCCAAGCGGAGATGGTCATGGTAGAACACCTGTGTCCTCACTGAAACATCTGGATGCGAAGCATTTAAATCTGAGCTGTTCCTTTCTCCCTCCCTGTCCTCCTTTATAATGAGTAGAGAGAAAAATATGACTTGCAGCTCATTGCCTGTCCCAGTCAAAAGCTAGGCATCTAAGGCAGGCTATGAGAGTCCCACTTCTCTCCACCAGCCTGGGATGTCTAGCTTGGACTTGTATGTCTAATTTTCAGATATCTCATGAGACGTGAGATAAACCACCCTGAGATCTAGCCCGGGTGAAAAGAGGTAAAAAGGAGCAGACAATTATTATAGCGGAAGTAAGAGAAAGGCTCTCTGCCTGCCATTGCTTCTATGTGGTCTAAGGTCAGCTGGAAACAAAGCTAAGTTAGCCACTGAGTTATGTGTATTGACGTCATCGCTGATGCTATATGACAGAGTTAAATACTCACTTGGAGAAAGACACACAGGCATTGTCTGGCATTAGTTGTTCCTCATCCAGCTACAGAAAGTAAAAATCCCAGGCAGGTTTTAAAGTTGTTATCTGTCAAGAACAAAAAAATAAGATTTTGATCAACAGCTGAGAGAATGCCTCAAACCAATGGTATGTTTGTAGCAAGAGAGAGTTTTCTATGCAGATTTCACTGGGGGATCAAGATATTCCTTTTGTGTAATATGTTAAATAAAATGTGCACCAGAGAAGTCACTTGAAAATATTGAATGAGATAACTTCATCTGATTAATGTAGCATGCTTTCTTTCCCCCTTTTTATTAAAAATTCACAAGGCTTCCCATCTCTTATCTCAATTAAGCAACTTGTTTGTCAGGATTATTTGTTACGCATTTTCATAAACATTTGATGAATTATATGCAAACATCTCACTAATGTATTAACAAGACTGAGGTTTTAATTACACAACACTCAAGGAAAGCAGGCTTAAGGCTCCTCCAATGAAGTTAATTGTGCTTCCTTGTGTGTCTGTGCATTGTAACGGGAATTTTCCTCTGGGGGAAATCACATTACAGTCTGCAGTGGCAACATACCCGCCTAGACTCTCTGCTAGCACCAGCTGGCCGAGCGTCATTAAATTCAATCACTTCAAGAGCTTCACTAGCCTTTGCTAAAAGGATGTAACTTCAGTTCAAACTTTGGTAGCGAGAAGAGGATTTGGGAGTCGATACAATCATTTTTACATCAGTTCTTATTCATTGTTTGTCACACAGAGATGACGTTATCAAGGGACTTCCAATACAATGGAGAAAAGGGTCATGTTTAGTCCATGCCCTTGAACTTCTCAGTTTATGAGGACAAGGAAAGTTTCAGACCATCTGCTGTCCTGGTCTGCTACTTAGTCAGAGATTCAGGCACACCACCAAAGGTCACTGCAGATGGCCAGAATTCAGCCCTAAGTCCTCCCTCTTGAATACCCAAGGAACTGGAATATTTTGATGTTAGGATAATTCATGACCTGCCTGAACTGAGTGACTCTTGTGAGTGTCTGAGTGTTTCACAGGAAGCCTAGCTGGCAGGTTGGGTGAAGTTCACAGCCAGGCAGGCAAGGAAAAAGTGTTTGTCCAGGCCTGATATGCCAAAAAGTGAACAAGAGAAGCCAGGTCTTGGGACAACAGGTTGAGCAAGGCATCACAGTTTACGTGTCTCAAAGCATCCAGACCTGGTGCTGTTGCTGTATTATTCTTACTTTGCCCCTCTGTTAACTGACATTGATTTAAGAACTGTCGTTGAAAACCTGGAACTGTTCAAGGCAGTGTTTGCTGCTTTAAAACTATGTTGAGCTCAACTGCTTTGAGCCCACTATAACCCCTATTTTCTTCATTTTTTGAGACATGATGACTAGCACCTCCCACAGCTTCCCAGCAAGGGACACCCATTGTGCAGCTATCCAGTTTATATCTGTTCTGTTGAAAAGCAAAATATTGTTATCTCCAGGGTTTCCTCTGACCTACATCTGCCACCAGAATTAGGTGAATCTATAGTTCCTGGGTCAGATTTAAGAGCTGTTCCTACCCACTGAGATCATGGAAGGTTTGAGGCATGATAATTCTATCCTCTCCCTCGGCCTCCATTACCACTGTCTGATACAGCATCTGCTACGTGTTACTGAGAAGGAGAGGCTGAACAGCACCCTGTCCTGTTACCTCTGCAGTTTCATTCAGCCATGGTCTTTCACAGCGTAGGTCAGGACTTGCACCATAACTTGCAAACAGCTGGATTTTCTCCGGATCTTTCTGCTGAGGCAGGATTTGTGCCCATCCTTTCCTCCTGGTATAGACAAGAAAAGTATAGGGACATCTGCATGGAGGACTATGTTGCTGTACAACTGCAGTCCCAGATCCCCATAAATCACTTACTCCTTGGTGTTGTAGAAAGCATTGTGGAGGTGTCCAGAGCAATAACTCACCAGTTTTCAGGTCCCAGCTCTTCAGCACAGGCAAAGAGCATCTGGTTCAAGCCAAAGCACTCTCAGAGGTTAAGAAGCCTCAAGTTACTGCTTCAAACTTCGATCAGTCTGGGACAGAGAGCCAAGCTCTTGGTCATAGGTGGTCTTTGGAAGGTTTAGCAGACCTTGTGTCAAGGAGTGATCACCATGTCACCTGCTCTAATAGACATCAAACTCTTCATTTACATTTTCCCTTATAGATGGTAACTTGAGCAAGGAGGAAGAAGGGGAGGATGCTTGGAGGAAAGGGAAGCCACAGAGCAATCCAGGTCTGAGCAATGACGTGCTCAGAAGAGAGGATTTCCCCCTTTGGTCCTGCCTTAGTCAAACTCTTATTTCCTTAGCCCAGTCTTAAGAGAAACTCCTGCACAAAGTTCTCTTTGCTTTGTGCCTCCTCCTTTCTGTGTTTGGTCAGCACTTTTTGTTTCAATGGATGTCTCTAAATAGCTCATCATTGCCTACACTGCAGCTATTCATTACAAGTTTCAATATCTTTTCAGCTCTCTGTTGGGACCTGGGCTCTTAGAAAACCTCAGCATTGAGGTTTTCCTTCTAAAAAAGCCCAAGTCAAAACTGAAACATATTTGCAAAATCATTTGATTTTGATTTCCACCGGGTTTAGAATATTTCACTTCCTAAAAATAATTTAGAAACCCCCAAAATTTCACTTGGAAATGAAATATTAACTTTGTCCTACTACTTGTGACAGCATTATTTCAATAATGTTCAATAGCATTTCTTTATGCTTCTGCTGGAGCAGTGCATACCTCTTTACTTGTTAGTCCTAATGACATGTCATGACATATTATGATATGATGGCCAACGATGTTACTTGTTCTGTTTTTAGCATTATTTTAAAGCATCTGATTTTATTTTCTGTTCTTTTCATTTTACAAATTGGAACATTTGCAGCCTCTGATATCCTTATTTTAACCAGGCAAAAATTTCAGACATCCCTTCTAAAATCAACTGTTACCCTAATTAGTACTGAGCCCTTATCTCTTTCTCTCTTTTGGAAGTATTAAACTGTTTCATTAGGCCAGTGAATGTTACTGGCTTTGATTAATAAAATAAAGTGAGCATGTCATGTTAATTAGAGTATTAGCCATTTGTTATTGTGTCATTTATTTTGTGACACATAACCAGTAACGGGTCTTACAGGACTTGTTCTATAGACATCACTCATTTCTCCTGCAGATTTATCACAACAGCACATGCATTCAGTTTAATTATAACACTAAACTGAAGGAACAAAATTCTAATTGCACTTTAAACAAAACAGAAAAGAAATAAATTGTTTCAGGACTCATACTCCACGGACAAGGAATTCCCTTTTCCGATCACAGCAAAACCAAGTTTTGAAATGTCTGAATTTCCCTGCAAAATAATATTGAGTTTTAACTGTGCTAGTGGTGACGCCTTCAGTTTTGCCAGTCCCCATCCCTCTGACAGCCGGATCGCGAGATCCAAATTGGTCCCTCCATCTCCTGCACCCCCTCCTGCTCCCTCCACCACTTGGGCACTGGGGCTCATTGCTCCCTACCGAGGGTGACAGCTTCTGTCTAGGCATGAGCTGTATTTTTCTTTCCTACTTCCAAAGTATATCCGCAGTAGCCAGTGAATACAAATCAAGGCAGTACTGTTAATATTCTCATTACATTTAAATCTAATGGGCTTTTTTAATATTCAGAATCAAAGGCACTTCACCACCAGTAGATTTTTTATCTTTTTTTTTTAAAAAAAAAAAAAAAAAGGAGCCCTGCATCTCATTCTCCTCTTCCTCCTCCTCCTCTGGGTTGGTGGGGTTTTTTTTGGTTTTTTGTTTTTTTTATTTTAAGCCAGTCTAAACCACCAGGGAAGGGCCATGCCTATAAACAGATGCCACTCACAGAGGGTCTGGGAGGCCTTCACATCATTAGGTGATGGTGAACTTTGAACTTGTGATTTGGAGGCTGTGTTTGCAGGAGACGAGGAGGAGGAGGCAGCAGCAGGGATGAGGCCAGGGTGGAGGGAGCTTGACGGGGCCTCTCTGGTGAATTGCTGGCCTACCCAGCACAGGAACGCTCAGGACTTCAAATCGGCTCCAGTCACTTTGAAGCTCCTCTCTCTTAATCTCTCTCTCTCTCTTTCTCTCCCTCTCTCTCTCTCTCCGTCTTTTTCCCCCCTTGCATCTATGAATCATTCATGTCTTTTTTTTTTTTTTTTTTTCCCCTCAGAGGTTCCTTTAGAAAAAAAAAAAAAAAGAAAAAAAAAAAGGAGCAGAAAAAAATATACACACACACACTCACACAAAGCCCTGTCTGTGTTTATGTTCTTATTGCTCTATGTAGCTTATTATCACCAATGTTGAACAAATTACTTACATGATGTTTGCAATGTGCTGCCATCCCTCAGAGTGATGCTCGTGATGGGGCTGACTATTTTGTTTTCAATGCTAATGTACAGGGGCACCGTGTTCAATGTAAATACACGGTGAATAGTATTTACATGGCACATGGAAAGGAGCTTGGCCCCAGCCCTGGAGCTGCCAAATGCAAAGATGAATTTGCACAGGTTTGCCAAAGCCCAGGAGCCTAGTGCATACACAGTGACCACAGTTTGGTGGGAAAAGTGTTTTTTGCTTATGTAGGTACATACATACCTGCGGGAAGGTTTTGGAAAGTAGATGAGTTTCAGTGAAAGCATTCAAATGATGCAATACCTAGTCCTGAAAATTAGATATTTTAACTTTCAGAACATATCTATGCTCTGAAACAAACCCAGGAACGGGTTGGTCCCATGTTTGTGGTTGCACCCACATTTACTCTTGGACTTTGCTGAAGAGAATAGTTGAACCTGACTTGCTTGTGGGAGCAGTCCGTGGCCTGGGCCACTTCAGATGCTGCTTGGATGTTGTCTTGGAGAGCCCCAGCACGCATGAGATCAAACCAAGCCAGTAAGTGTGCTAACACTTGTGCAGTCTGACCTTGGGTACAAACTGGAACAAGTGAAAATTCACCATGTCTTCACCAGGACAAGGGTCCACAAGCCCATCCTATGGGGATTGCTTTCCTCTGATAGCCAAGAGGAGCCCAGGACTGGCTCC